CATACATACATACATACATACATACATACATACATACATACATACATACATACATACATACATGGATTTTGAACCACAAGTGTATCATCTTCTCTAAAATTAAGGAAGAATTCTCATTACACGTTTGCTGAGCCCATCTCTCTTTTTGAGCTCTGAGAGCCTATCCCACTTCATAATATAAAACAAGTCAGAAATAATTTGACTGGGTAGTAGAAGCCAGTTCTTTCAGTTGTGAAGAGTTGGTCAGCATGTCCAACCTCTTACTCAGTGCAAGAATCCAAATTAGATGGCTACTTAGGCTCTTCTTGAAGACATCTAGTAAAGACTTAAGTATTTGGTTCTAGTATCAAACTGGTTTTCCTGTTTAAATAATGTTTTTTAAAGTATGATGCTAAGAATTGTCCCCAGCACTTGGAGTAAGACAGAATAAAGTGGAACTGTGATTTGAAAGCTATAATTTTGTTGATAGCAGTCTAAAACCAAATTTACAATATTTTTTTGCCAATTTCATTCTGTTGCTTCAAGTTTAGTTTGGAATTATTATTCAAAAATCTTATGAATACCAATCCAAATGAAGCCTTTAAGATCTTTTGCTGAAATATTCTGTAAAGAAGCCTTTACAATAAGTTCCATTGAATCCAAGAGTTCTGAAAGAGGTTGTTAAGAGGTTCTTTCAAGATATTGTGATTGAAAAAAAAACCACTTATTTGAACTTTGCATATTGCATAATGCTATTGTAATGGTGAGAATTTTTATATGTCACAACTTAACATTCTGATCTGAATTATATTAGGTAGGTTTTATATTTTTTGCAATTTTTATACAAAGGTTTTGAGACCTGAAGATTGTATCAACTCCTTTTACAGTGTAAAGGGTTTGAGAAAACTGTTTCTTCTACAGCAAGGCTCCCTCTTAGTAGTTCCCAATTTATTTGTTGCCTTTTTATCTCAGTTTGTCACAAGTAAATTCTTTTACTTCACTCAGTCATCACTATCTCCTCCTGTTATTCAAATATTATTTCAGATAATTGCTTAATAATCTGTAGAAATAGTATTGGAGATGTTTTGTTTAATAAGAATAATCAAGCAATGTATGTTGTTCATAACATTTTTATTAATCAGAAATACTATTAATATTTTTGTTAAACAAGTAGATTTGTTAAGATGATCCCTGATCACCTAATTTCTACAAAGCTTTAAATTTGTGCACTATAGGAATCTGAGCTTACAAGATTACAAACAAGAATTGCAGTTCATGAAAGAACAGCAAGCATCAAGCAATTAGTAGAACATCATTGGTTTGATGATCAAGGACTTGACTTTGCCAAGCAGTCTACTTGCACAAAACTACGGCGTTCAACAAGCACCAGTGATCTAAATATTAAGGACAATAAAAATGCACTAGGTCAAAATCAGACAGTTACACCAAACTCTTCAGTGAGTTCCGAAATGTCAAAATATATATCTCATGCTTCACCAAAGAGTTTGAATGAGTCTTCCTTTGATCCTTTGTCATACAATGTAGATGAAGAGGTAACTTGTAACAGTAATGACTTTCAAACACTCAGTGGCATGCTGAAATATATCAACAAGGAGAGAAAGGATTCTGAAAAGTCTTCTCTATAATTTTTATCTGCTGTAAAGAAAAATCAAGTATGTATATTTCTTAGCTAAATGGAGTACAATATTCCTTGTCACTGAAGTAACTTTTCATGCAAATATTGCTACCTTTTAAAATGTAAACAGAGTAATTTCTAACACAGAGAAATTAACTGAAGTTAGATCAACAATTTACTCCCCAAAAGGCCAAGTGCAATACATGAAAATAAAACACTTTGAGTGAAAAAAAACTAAAATGGAGCTGTCATATTTCTAGAATATTTAGAATATTACAGGTAGTTCTCAACTTACGACCACAATTGAGGCCAAATTTTTTAATTGATAAGTGAAANGTGGTTTACCATTTTATTTTGTTCACTATTGTTTGTCTCTTGGTACTGCACCCCCTCCCCTTGTGATTGTAAGCCGCCCTGAGTCCCCTCAGGGAGAAGGGCGGCCTATAAATCTCAATAAAATGAAAAAAAAAAAATTCTCGTTTTTAAATGAAAATTGCAGAGAATGCAAGGATGAACTTGAAGAGAAAAAGCAAGAACTTCTTGACATGGAAAAGGTGCTGAAAGAAAGAAATTGGGATTTGAAACAAAGAGCAGCTCAGGTTAGAAGAATATGTAAATTTAATAAGCTTTTAAGAATGATTGGGACATTATTAGTAAATATATTTGGGATGCATATTTTCATTGATGCTCCACAATTTTAGTGTGTGCAGGTAATTCTCAATTTATAACCATTTGTTTAATGGTGGTTTGAAATTATGACAGCTGTGGAAAAAGAAATGTATGATCCATCCTGAAATTATGATGGTTGCACCATCCTTGTGGTCACAATTTGGTGGTCAGCAATCGGCTTACATTTACAACAGTTGCAGTGTCTTGCAGTCATGTGGTCACAATTTGCAATCTTCCAGCTGGCTTCCACAAAGTCAACTGGGGAAGCCAGAATCACTTAACAACCATATGATTTGCTTAGCAACTTTAGTAAAATGGTCACAAAATTGGGTCCCATCACATGATGATGACCTGCTTAATGGCTGCATAACTTAGCAATCAAAATTCAAGTCCCAATTGTGGTCATGAGTTTACCTATAATATTTCTTTCTGTTTTCATATTTTGTCTTTCCTTTTTTAAAAGGTTACACAGTTGGATATGTCAATTCGTGAATACAGGGGAGAAATGGAACAAAAAATAATTACATTGCAAGGTAGCTTGGAAAAAGCAGAGCTGCAGATAAAAGATTATAATAAACAGGTACTATTATTGTTCAAAATGCGCTTCTAGTTGCTTACTTTCCACAAATTTCTGATGTGAAGAGTTTTAACTCCTCAAATGGTTATTCTTTTTTAACTTATTTGCTTACATTTTGCTTTCAGATTGAAAGTTTGGCAAGCAAGGTACAGTATTCAAAAGAGGAGCTTAAAGAAAAAGAGTATAATATTCTCCAACAAGATCAAGAGATAAATCTTCTTAGAAAAGAGAATGAACAAAAGCAACAAAGAATAACAGATACTGAGAAAGTAAGTTTTATCTTGTATATTCTATTCTCTGCCTTTTTTTCAATACTCCAGGTTTCTAATCTAACCAGTTACTTATTTAATCAATAATATATGATAAGGAATAACATTGCCTTTTCATGAAAGAGACTATTGTCTGAAATATGTTCCACTGAATTTATTGAAGCTTGCTAAAATATAGTTTGCTTACTTTTCCATGAGAACTTGCCAGTATTTTTGCATTTCATTTTCTGATACTGCTATTTTTTTTTCTTTCTCTTTAGATAAGTTTGTATGCATATCTGCCAACAAAGAATATTGTTCCATCTGGCTGATAATTTTAACATACTCTGAACTGTTTTTCAGACAGCAGATCTGATTTTAAGAAAACAAATAAGAACTACTAAATTGAAATAACAGGAAGACACAAGATTTTTAGTATGTAAAAAAACCACTTTTCTCTTTTTAGAAGCTGAAAGACCAAGAAAGGTGTATTGCAGAACAGTATAAAGAAATACTTGATTTGGGGCAGCAGCTGAGACTGGAACGTGAAGCAATGAAACAAGTTCATGTGGATTTATTAGAGAGTCGCCGCCAACAGGCTCAAGCTCAGAGAGATGTGGAAAGGATCTCTCTTGAACTGGAAGAAGTGAACCATATCTCACATGAAAAAGTAATCAACTTTACAGATTAATTTTATGAGAAATCAGCTATCCCAATGCAAGATTCTTTCCAGTGTCAGTTTAATGTGTGGACTAGAGCATGTTTCAGAGCACAGTTTCAAATGGGGAAAGACAAAAGGTTAAAGCTAACCAATAATGCCAGATCAGTTTGAAAATGATGTAAAACAAATATTTCAGACCTTTTCTTAAACTTGTGGAGAAAACTTGAAAAGGGTCTGGTTATTTGAATGAATAACAGAGAAGTGCTTGAAACATTAATACAAAACGTTTCAAAAATAGCTGTAGATATGCTTTCTTGATTTGTTTTGGGAAATTAGTAGCAATCTTCTATATAAACAAACTTGAGATACTTATTTTTGTATTGCTTAAAATATTATTGTTTTTAAACATGCTAATTTAATATTTTAAAGAAAATGGCAAATATATTGATTTTGTGTTTGGGGGGGGGCATAATTTTCTTTCAGGAAACCCGTGTAAATAATTTGGCAGAACAATTGGGAGCAGCTCAGGTGCGAGAATCTGAGTTAGAAGCAAGAATGCAAACTGAGATTAAAAGGCTCACTGCAGAAGTACATTTGCTAAAACAGTCTTTTTTATCAGAGGTGAGAACAAAATTGTTCTTTCCCATTTATTTCATCTTAGGTATGAGAGAATGAGAAACTCTCACATGTGTGTTTGGCTCTAAGAACTGGCTCTAGGCTTTCCTTTTTTACTTTCAAATAATTTCTTTTGCACCAAGTTTGTATGAAATAATTTCAGAGCAATCAGTCCCCTTTCTCACAAGTTATGAACTGAACATTGATAAATTATTTAAGCACCACAGATATGCATAATATCGACAGCTACTATCCTATGGCATACGCTAGGGCCGTGATGGCAAACCTCTGGCACACGTGCCAGAGGTGGCACACGGACCCCTCTCTGTGGGCACACAATCTGTTGACACACGCACCGGCCAGCTGGTCTTTGCGGGCCCTGGAGTGCCAGAAAATGACCTGAAAAATTGCCCAAACCAACCCAAAAATAAGCTGTTTTTCGGGCCAGTTTTCAGGCTATTTTTGAGCCATAGTTTAGGCCATTTCTCAGGTCATTTTTCTGGCTGGTTTTCTGGCCAGCTGGTCTTCATGGGTGCCAGAGTACCGGAAAATGGCCAGAAAACGGCTTGAAAAATTGCCCAAACCAACCCAAAAATAAGCTGTTTTTCGGGCCAGTTTTCAGGCTATTTTTGA